GAAGGCATGATGTGTCATAGCGCAAAGATCAGGTCTTCGCGAGAGTGCATCTGCTGCGCGATTTGAGAGGCCGGGAAGATGTTTTGGTGTGAAGTGAAATTGATCGATGAAGTACATCCATCGTCCGATCGTGCTGCTCACCGTATCCTGCGTCTTGTAGTAGGTCAATGGATTGTTGTCTGTAACCCATGTGAACCTACGACGCCCAAGGAGGAAGTGCCGCCATCGCTTGGGAGCCATGACGAATGCGAGCAGCTCCTTCTTCCTTGCATCATCAAGCGAGTTGATGGGAGGCACTTTGTGCCTGAAATACTCCACAGAGTGCCAGTCGTCGCCGTCGTGCTGTTCCAAGACTGCCCCAATGCCATAGTCGGAAGCGTCAGTCGTCACTCTCGTAAGCAGGGTGGGGTCATAGATGCTAAGGACGGGTGCCATGAGCATAGCCGTCTTAAGTGCTTGGAATGACCGGYGTGCGTCGTCATCGAATACGAATGGCACCTTTGGCGATTGTAACCTCGTCATAGGTGCAACAATCCTCGAGTATCCGGTGATGAATCGCTGATAGTAGCCCGCCAATCCCATGAATGAACGAACGTCCGTGGTGTTGGTGGGCTCGGGCCATACTCGTAGGGCCTCGAACTTGTCCGCAAGCGGACGGATGCCTTGCGGCATCACATAATGTCCCAAGTACTCCAGCTCCTGCCACGCTAGTTCGCACTTGTCGCCGTTGGCTTTGTACTTGGCTTGCCGTAGCCACTCCAAAACGGTGCGCAGGTGTTCCACATGCTCCTCCAAACTCCGACTGTACACCAGGATGTCGTCGAGGTAGATAAGTACGTATCGATCTAGCATGTGTCGGAACTCCGTTGTCATAGTCGCTTGGAAAGTGGCCGGGGCATTCGTAAGGCCAAATGGCATAACCAGCCATTCAAAATGCCCATATCGCGTCTTAAACGCGGTCTTGTAGTGGTCCTCCTTGTGAATCTCGAGTTGGTGATAGCCCGACTTGAGGTCAAGCTTGGAGAAGAACTTGTCGCCGCCCAGTCGCTCGAGAAGATCGTCGATGCGTGAGAGAGGGCCGGCGTTCCTGATCGTCTGAGCGTTGAGCTTGCGATAATCGATGCACAACCGCAAATCCTTGCCGGACGAAGAGAATAGGAGCACCGCATGGCGATGAGCTAGGCCGAATCCAGCCTTTCTCCAGAAGGTCGTCGAGTTGTGCCCGAAGCACACTTAACTCTTCCTCGCTCATTCGGTAGATGCAACCGTGTGGAGGTACGACCCCGTCCTCGAGGATGATCTCGTGGCGGATGGGTCGATACAGTACTACTCCGTGCGGGTCTTCAAACACGTCGCTGTAGGCGTCGAGAAGTTCGGTGATGCGTGGATCCGAAGATGAGTCCGTCGATGAAGCGTCTTGGGGCGGGAGGGCGTGGAGAAAACACACCCCCATCTCCTCGATGTCGTCTCTGATGATGGAAGTTGACTGAAGGGTGAGGAGGAGCTACCGTGCATGGGACGAGTACTCCGTTCCGATCACGAACGTGAACGGTGCAGCGGTAGAAGTTCACCGGGTGATCCTCCCTTCGCAGCCATGACATGCCCAATATCATGTCGAATTTGGTGTCCAGAATGTCAAAGGACACCGCCTCACTTGCGTGAGGGGCAAAGTACACTGGGACGTCATCAATGCACCGGTCGATTGACTTGTGCGTGTGACCGTCTGCCAACGTGACTTGCGTGGGCTAGGACTTCCTTCGGACTCGTGGGCCAAGGCCGGCGAGTACCATGAAGTCCTGACTCATGTAGTTGCAAGATGCTCCGCAATCAATCAAAGCGTTGCAGGTTGTCTCTCCAATCTGAATGCGTACATATAGCAATGGTGTGTCGATGTCGTCGTACCGTTGCATCTTGAACTCGCGGTCGATCTTCGCAATGTAGGCATGAAGGTCGACAACCTCTACTCCGGCGTCCATCAACGGAGTCGGTACCGCAGTGTGCAAGTAATCCCGCAATTGTGCCTTGAGCACGTTGCAATGCAGTTTCGACAATCGACCGGACCGGGGCAGGGGCATCCATTGGAAGTCCTCAAAAGTCAACGGGTCGAGCTCTTCAAGTCTTGACCATGACGTTGAATCCCCGACGGTAGATGGCGGCAAAGCTGCCGAATCGGTTGCCGATGGTGATGAAACCGTGCATGCGGTAGATTGTTGCACGTGGAGTGGTTGGTCTAGCGGTGGGACCAAGTGGACAACATAGTCCTGGCAAGCATACCGAGAACTTACAACATTGGCATCCTCCCCAAATGTGTAGGAGGCCGCTAGCAAGGCGGCCGAATCTGGCGGAGTGGGGGGTGGAGTCGCCTCACCTCCCGCGACACTCAGTTTCCCGAGTTAAGACGAGGCCGCACATCCTCCTTGGCCTGATCCTGGCAAAGGGAGGTCTTGTGCTTGGTGCTGTTGCACCAGTAACAGCAGCCGTAACGGTTGCGGTACTTGTACGCGGCCTCGGTCAAGTTGAACTTGACCCATGGTGGTGCTGGCTGTCCGTTTCCGGCCTGCGATGCTGGTTTCGCCTTCCCGTTCACTCGGGGTTTGTTGTTGCTTCGCGGCTGGACAACAGCCACCTGATCTCCCTCACGTGACGCTTGGGTGGCTGCTGGGTCTTCCACAGTGTTGTCCGATTGGACTGCAGCGAACTGCTGCTGTCGCGGACCAGTTCTCACCTTCTCCACATAGGTTGGCTGCCACGTTGACTTCTCGTGTGCAGCCGCCCTGTTGGTCTTGATGATCTCCCTCGCCTTGTCAATGATCTCAGCGAAGGTTGCATATTGCTCGCGATCACCAAGTGTCTGGCTCAATGCAGCGCATGACCTGTTGTAGAACTCACGGCGCAGATGCGGAAATGGTAAGTCAAGATCGGGCGTTGCCGCGATCTTCTGCCATTCCGTGAGCCAGTCACGTGTTGCTGTGTTGCCTTGAGTCATGGTGAAGAGACGGTTGATGGTTAGTGCTGGTGCGTCGTCGACGATGAACCGCTTCTTCCACAGCCGTGTTAACTCTTCCCATGTGATCTTGTCCTTCAGATCTGCGACGTCGACGCCGTGGGTGGCTGCCAGGTGAGTTAACCAGATCTGGCATCCACCCTTTGAGTTCATGAACAGGGCGCCGATGTACGAGTGCTTGGCGACAGGCAGAATCCGAAGTTGCGTCGTGAAAGTTTCCCACTAAAGCACCGGGTCCTGATGCGTGTAGTCGTCGAACTTCTCCAGTTGAAAAGTTGGCATCTTGTATTGCTTTGGATTGTTGCCATCCGTGTTCGTCGTCTGCAGTTGTTGGACCTCGGTCTTCAAAGTATCCATCAGCAAATGCTTGGGATAGCTGTTTCCAAGCTGGAGCCATGTCCATGCAGAATCCACACCAAGGTGCAAAGTATTTGACAAACCAGACCGTTCCATCAGCCTTCACCTCGTCATCGAAATTGCTGCTGCCGAGTACGACCGGCATGCCATCTTCAGCCTCCACCACTGCAGATTCCTCTGGTTTCTCCTCCCCGCTTGCCTCCAGAGCGGCACTCGAGACAAAGGTTTTCAATGCCTCRAGGTCTCCACCACCCTCGTACTCCTTCAAGAATCTACCGTTGTGAAAGACACTCATTGTTGGGTAGCCTTTGATKTCATRCTTGGTGCAGAGGTCCCTCTCGACGGTGCAGTCCACRTGGGCAATACGCACARWGGCATCATCAACAAATGCTTGAGAGAGTTCTTCCCAAACTGGAGCCAACACCTGGCAGAAACCGCACCAAGGTGCAAAGAACTTTACAAACCACACCTTACCAYCAGCCTTCACCTGCTCGTCGAAGTTTTTGCTGCCGAGCACGATTGGCGTTCCAGCTTCAGCTSCTGCCACCGCATGTTCCTCAGGCTTGTTCCCGGACACCTCCTTCGCAAGGTCCAAGACAAAGCTTTTCAAGTCCTCAACACTGTGTTCGCCTTCATAATACTCGCGGAACGCACCTCTGTGAAAGACACTCAATGTTGGGTAGCCTTTAATGTCGTGCTTGGTGCAGAGGTCGTTCTCTACGGTGCAGTCCACATGGGCAATACGCACATTGGCATCATCAACAAATGCTTGAGAGAGTTCTTTCCAAACTGGAGCCATCTCCTGGCAGTAACAGCGAAGGTGCTGATGTCGCCAAGCATGGCGATGACGTGGTCGACGCGTTGCTCCAGTTGGCGGTTAGAGGGTGCACTTCTGGACTTACCGGCATCTGGTCCTGGTACAGCTTGCTCCAGGTCCAGTACACGGGATTTGAGTGCCCATGTAGCATCCTCGTGGCTCTGCACCATCTGGCAGAGGTTCGCCAACTCCTGGTGCTGTGTCTTCAGATCCTGGTACTGTTGCTGCAGTTCCTGGTTCTGTTTCTCTAACTCGGACTGTTGGTGGTTGCAAGTGTACAACAACCGTGTCACGAGTTTGGAGAGGAACTCCTTATGTTGCTCTTCCGGTGTCGCGTCGTCGCCGTTGGCCGGTTCAAAGTGTCAAAACTTGAGTCTTTCGATGCTGGCAGCTTCATGCCGCTGCAGCAGAACCTGGGCCTCCTTGTGGCGTGCCTGGGTATTTGCGTCTGCTTCGGCCTGTAGCCGCTGCTTCAGCCTGTAGGCGGGCAGCCTCGGCTGCCAGCTGGCGCTGTTCCTCAGCCTCGATGAGAGCGATCTGAGCCTGTAACCGCTGTTTGTAGTCGGCAAGAGACTCATTAGCCAGTTGGCTTGGCATGCCCAGAGCTGCGCCCGTCATGGTGGCGGGGCGCTGCTGACGTGGCACTGTTGCTTACGTGGCACTGTGACGTGGCACTGCTGACGTGGCACTGTTGCTTACGTGGCACTGTGA